TATGCCTATGATGATCAGACTAGTACCTTCACCTGCAATAGAGGCGATTACTTATTCGCTTTTGTTGAAAGGAGCTAATAACTTAGATTAGCTTTGCATAGATTTATATACGATTGTATGTGAGCATGTATAAATGCTGTACTATATGATCCATAAATGCGTACTAACAATGACATGTAGTATGCATTGTATTATATATGTTTTTAATACGAGAATATAGACTTAAATCAACATCTAAGTTGTATTAATTTACAATAATTTTAGCATTTGCATACGCCTTTTTTCTTGGCTAAGATGATTCACATTTATGTCACTCTCTTCTACTGCTTACTATCAATGGATATTACTTGGAACATAATGTACGTGGAAGGGGTGACTAATTAGAGATGAAAATTTTAATTTTATTTCAAAACAATTAGCATTATTGAAAATGAATCGCAAAAAGAAAAATCTACTAAACTTTTTGGATCTGCCAGGTCACATTGATGATGTATGGAGCATAGTCAGGGTATAAGTAAATTTCGGAAATCTGTATCTCTTTCTTCAAGATTATACAACACTTGTCACCAATCTATTGATCCATTTTCTTTACAGAGGCAATGCATTTTTATCCATCACACTCTTTCTCTTGCACTTATTTTCGGCATGTTGGTCACAGCCATTCTATATATATATATATTATATATATATATATATATATATATAATATATATATATGTACCCCTTGAGTCCTTTGTAGAACAAATCACATTCTAAATATTTACTCATTGTTTCAACCAATTTGCCATGGGGATCATCCATTTTCATCTCCTTTTGGTTTTGATCTCGGTCTTAGGTACCAAGAATCCCATCATGTCCATGTATGTTACAAAATTTTGTTCCTTGTATGTGCATATTAACTAATCTTGATATTATGCTACAGGCCCAGATGCTGCAGTTTTACATTAGAAAACAGATGCAAGGCAGTTATGGCCTGGGATCCTGGCTGGATCAGGGAAACCTCTACTCAACAATGGATGTTGCTTTGAAACCAGGAGAAAGAACTGACATCAATGCCCACCTGGGTGGTCTGGCCGATTGTGGGACGTACTGGTTGCCAATTTGATCCATCAGGCAAGGGAAAGTGCATAACTGGTGACTGTGGTGGCGTGCTAACTGCGAAGGGGCAGGAGGTGAACCCAGTATCACTAGCTGAGTTTACCCTTGATATTCCAATGGATTTTATGAGTTAGTCTTGTTATGGCTACATTTTGCCGATGACTATAATCCCTTCTGGTGGTACTGGGATAAATGCAAGGAGGTTACATGTGTTTCGGACTTGAACCAGAAGTGCCCCAAAGATCACAATGGTAGACAGGAAAGTTGTGGATGTAAAAGTGCATGCGTGCGTTCAATAAGCCTGAATATTGTTGCGTGGAGAATTTGGAACACCTGAAAAATGCCCACCAACTGAGTTCTCCAAAATCTTCAAGGATCTTGTCCAATGTCTTATAGTTACGCCTATGATGATTTGACTAGTACCTTCACTTGCAAAGGAGCTATTACGTGATACGTTTTGTTGAAGCTTACATCAAGACAGTAAAATTATTCTGACGATAGGTGTGTACTTTGAATCTGATTCAACATTGCATTCATTTTTATTTTTTTTTCGTTTTTTGAATAAAAGAGTATACAGTTAGAAACATCATCCAGTGTTTGCACTGATAAGCAGGTAAAAAGCCATATGGCTTGATGTTTGTATTTTGTAGTACAACTGGCTTCAAATTCATATATAGAACCCAAGTTTGGACAAATCATGTACTTTTTTCTTGTTTTGCCCTTTTGTTATAGGCTTTAATGTTTAAAACTGGGATTTTTGGTGTCTAACTTGTCAAATCTAGCTTACATTTAGAAGATGGAGATGTACATAAACTTTGGATATTGAAGCAGTGCCCAATACAAGAACAGCAGCTTGTTATAGAAGAACACACTGAAAAGAGCACTTAATTCTCGCATATTTGCCAGATCATCATGAAATCGACCAAACAAAGAATTTCAGCATGGCAGGCTCAACGAAATTCTACTATTTTGTCATGTAATGTATATCTCACGACGGTAAGGCCAAGCAAATCTGGCTGACAAGTATATCAACAATCCAAGAATAATCAGTTATAGAAAAGGGAGAGATGAACCAGATTCAGTTTATATTAATTGTCCATGAAGGTTGAATGGCATGGATCATGTGTGTTCATCCAGGAAGCATAGCAACATCCACCACAATGCAAATAATAGTACAAATTGTAAAACCCCATTTCTAATTTAGTAATAGCATGAATTGTTTTAGTATAATTCTTTTTCTATTTGATTTTGGTATTTGTTGTAAGAAGGGGTATTTTTGTCATTTTAAAGTTGCGTTGGGGGTAAAAACGAAGAAATAAATCCTGATGGGTTTGTATGTTCAAGAGGGAAATTTTGATTTCCCTAGGAAAGCTTAGGTGGCGGGGTTATACGTAATTTAGAGAATATTGGGGGCATAAATAATTTCAGAAAAATGTTTTGTTTAAAAGAAGAAGAAAACTGGCAGTCGCCCAAAGGAAGGATGAAGACGTGACTGAGGGAGAGAGTAAAAACAGACAGAAAAAAAAAAAAAAAAAAAAGGAAGAAGAAAGAGAAGGAATGGTTGCGGCGGAAATGGCAGAGTGAGAGAGAAGAAGAGAGGAGAAGGGAGAGGATATATTAGTTTTTGAATTTGGAGTCTGTGAACAGTGCATCATCAAATCGTGATCTGCAGCTCGTTTCGCCGTCCGATCGTTCTGTTATTTGGATATGTTGTTCATGAGACACACTCTACATTATGCGGTGAAGATTGAAATCCAAGCACTGTAATAGGCAGTCAATTATAGGATTAGAAGATTGAGTGGCAAAAATCAACCCTTTTCTCCTATATTCAAGCGTGCTGTGTGATTTGTTGAGTTTTGTTTCTAAGATATGAAAGATTTTACATGCATGGAGATACATTGCATCCAATGCTTAAATTCTGTCTGCATGTGTAAGTTGTGTTTTCCATTTATTGTTTGATGTAAGTTCTGAGTTAATTGCAAATGTTTACTATAATTGCTTTTCCATGCTTCGTTGAGCCTATGGAGATTGTTTGATTGTGGTTGAGTGCTGGAATTTGGTTTCATGGGTGGAGATAGTTTGAGTTGTTGAAGGAAGTTTAGTTTGAGGGAACAACTTGAAAGTCCGAAATTCCTTTTACTTTGAAAGTACCCGTGCAACCTATACTCTTAAGTTTTCATGTATTCTCTTATATGGCTTTAAGTGCATGCCAGTTAACAAAAAAGAAATAGGTGTTCTCTGAAAACCACATGTCAATTTGGGTGGATAATGGTTAGCACTTGTGTTAATTATTAGAATTAATGTGTTTTGAAATTGAAACTTACAGATCTGATTAGGGTGGTGTTGTGAGTTATGCATGTGAGTTTTATATATATACAGCATGTGGTAAAAAAATCTTCGCGTTAAAAACAAAATGGGGTCTTTTCGTCAGTTTGAAAGTATGTTTTAAAACTTGCATTTTACCCCCCTATTTTCCATGAAATCTCATATGTTGCATGATTTATCCTTATATGAAATATATTATTATTATTATTATTATTGTTGTGTTGTTGTTTTTGTTGTTGTTTGTTGTTGTTTGTTGTTATATATTATTATTATTTTTGCTCTTGGTTTATTATAATTATAATGTGTTATATGAGTTTTGACTTTTAAAAGTTATGTTTGCTTATGATTTTATCGGACATATGCTAAGATCATGTGATTTTGAATTAATTTTCAATCTGAGTTAACCGTCAGTTTCTAAAACATGTTTATAAAATTGTAGTTTCACCCTTATATGTGATTTTTTAATATTATGTCATATATGTATGATTTATAAGCACATATATAATATGCTCTTGACTTACACGTTACTTGAGATTATGCATGAGTATGTTGTGGTGCTAAAACCGCCCTACAAAGTACCCATCCCCCAGAGATACAAATTTTTGGCTCTGCCTGAGCGGTGCAGATTCCGCCGGGTATGACAGTTTCAGATTTTGGCTCTGCGCATGCGTATGACAGTTATCAGTGCTCTGCCTAGGCGTTGAGTGGTCCGCCAGGTATGACAGTTTTGAGGCTCTGCCCGCGCGATGATAGACCTTGCCTGGTATGACAGGTACGTCCCTTGCTCTGCCTGCGTGTGGGATGCCTACCAGGTATGACAGATTTTCCCCAGGGTACTAGTTGTGGTGAGAGTTTTCTAATACCAAAAGTTGAGGTTTTATTCAGGATCCGATTCAGAAAGAAAGAAATAAGTCAGAGTATAGTTTACTGAGTGCAGGATGATTAGAAGTAAATCATATATTGCATACATGATTGGGGTGGTTGTTCTATTGCATATTCATAGAATTATATTATCGTCAGGATTTGCTTGAGAATTGTTGTATGTTATCATTATTTCTTTTTTTTAAGAACTTTTATAAACCTCCCCTTTCCCCTACTCACTGAGTATTTCAACTCACCTCTTTTTAAATGTTTTCCCCCCTCACCAGGACCTTTCGGAGATCATGCCAAGCAGTGAGCCTCTGCTCAGGGTTGTGCCATGCGTCGACATCTTTTTATGTGGGTTTTATATTTAAGTCGCATTGTATTTTGGACTTTTGTTTCAAGAACTCATGTTTCTCATCATGTATTTCCTTTTGTTTCATGTTTTGGAAAGTGTAGTATAAGTGGAAAACCTAATACCACAAGTTTCCCTAACTCTTTTCTTTTGTAAAACGAAAGATGATGCATGTCTTTTTGAGATGTTGGAAATTGAAATACTATGATGTTATTCAAAAAAAGTAGGCCTTTTAACAGGTTTCACAGTTTTTCTATATGACACGTCTCAGCTATCCGAGTCTTGTGGGAGCGTCCGGATCCTACAAGATGAGGAAATTCGGGACGGGTTGTGTCACAAATGATCATAAAAGTTGTCAAACTTATCGCACAAGCAATGTATTCTATCTGAATCGAAATTCATATTATGGAGGAAATGCTGCCAATCGATTGGATTACATGTATAATTTACAGGCAACTTGTGTATTTCCACTACCAAACACAGCTTAAATCGTGAAAAAGTTAGTTTCGTTTTGCAAACAAGTTTGCTTCTCCCTTAAATTCATCACATCACATCACCTTGGAATTTTTTTATGCAAATGGGAAGGAGGGTAANGTCTTGTGTTCGAATCCCTGCAATGACCACCTACCACAATTGTGACTTATTTTATCCATTGAGCTTGTAATGTGTTTAATGAGTCTCAGAGATTAAACTCTAGTCATTAAAAATAAAAAATAAAAAAATAATTATTCAACTAACTCAGTCCAATTTGAAATACTATGTTTTTCAAGTTAATCATTTTATGACTTTAACAGTAATAATTAACTTTAAACAAATTTATTGCGTTTCATAAAGTTTAATTTTAAAGGGTCCGTTTGTTTTATTATTTTGGATAAGATTTTGGGAATAATATTGGCCAACACTGTCGGAATCTGGCTGGAAAATGGTATTACGACGCAGACCGATCAGATTTGACGGGTAGGGCATCGATATGGTCTTTTTCGGCCAGAGGCCAGATCTATGGCCAGATTTGGCCGAAAAAGACTAGATCTACGGCCAGATCTGGCCGTCGACGGTCGCAAAAGTCCAGATCTGGCCGTCGCTGTTGTTGTCGGTCAACGATGGCCAAGATTTAGCCGTCATTGATCGTCAACGACGGTCATCGCTGACGGCCAGATCTGGCCTTTTCCGGTCAGATCCATTGTGGATCGGTGAATTACCGACCAGTTCTGGTTGTTTGTAGGCCGTTGTGACAGATTCTGGCTACCACCGACGGTGGTTGCTATTGATCTGGCCGGAAAAGGTCAGATCGGTGAATTATCGGCCAGTTCTGATCGTTTGTAGGCCGTTGTGACAGATTCCGGCTACCACTGGCGGTGGTTGCCGGAATCTGGCAAGTATGGGTGGGTGAGGGTGTTTTTGTTAATTTTTAAACTTTTTTTCTAAGGGTATTTAATAAAATTAATAAACTTAAGGGGTCTAAAAATAATTAAAAAAATATACTAATATTTCTCAAATAACAAAACAAACAAGTATTTTGGAAATAGGATTGGAAATATGGGTAAAAATAATAAGCCAAACGGAGCTAAAATTGTTATGCTTTCTAAATGTTCCATATGTGTGGTAAATTCGATTACATTGTTACATATATTATAATGAAAATTGACATATTATAATTCTTAAAATATTTCTATGATAAATTAAAATAATTATTTATAATCTTCAATGTAATTAAATAATTATTAATATAAACAAAATTTACAATTTTTACGAGGTTAATTGAACAGTTTCGCTAATAGAATTATAGCCAATTCATATCCAAATCCATAAACTATACGAAGCAAATGTTAAAAAATATTCGTCTTTATCTTAAATTTGTTCTATCGGTTGCAAGTTTTTATTAGAGTTTTAATTGAAATAAGATCCAACCATTGGATGATTTCTTCACAAATTAAACAACTCCTCTTTTTTAACATATATTATGTTAAGCGTAACGTATGTAAAGCCTAAAAATAAATAAATATGTGTGGGTTAAGCCTATATTTGTACCAAAACTCAAAGCCTTCATTTCATCACAAAATGCTGTATATTTAATGATTTAAACCATCTTTTTAAATCAATTAACAGTTAAAAGTGAACTGTTATCTTCATCCTTTAATATCAAATCCTAAGTATACACAACACGCAACTGTCACAATGTATATCCATTCCGGCTCTTTGTTCTCCAACTTAAAACCAATTTTGGTATTTTGGTTGACCAATATATATATATATACTTTGGCTTCCTTCTTTGCTATCTCACATCAATCCTTGATTCAACCCTTGATATCTCTGCCATGGCACTTTTGCATTTTCTTCTCGTTTTGGTTTTGATCTGTGTAGTCTTAGGTACTAATAATTACATTCTTCCTACAGTTTCATTCTTTTTCTTCAATGTATGCTATGAATTTTGTAACTAACCATGATACCAATGTGACATTCTTTTTTCAGGCACAGATGCTGCAGTATTTACCGTGCAAAACAAATGTAAGGAAACAATATGGCCGGGGATTGTAACCGGGGAAGGGAGACCTCAACTCAATAGTGGAGGGCTTACATTGAATCCAGGACAATTCGTTCACATTAATGCACCAACCGGGTGGTCTGGCCGATTTTGGGCACGTACTGGCTGCACATTGAATCCCTCGGCAAGGGAAATTGCATCACCGTGACTGTGGTGGTGTTCTCAACTGGCGCGGGCAGCAGGTGTACCACCTGTATCACTGGCAGAGTTTACACTTATAGTCCAATGGATTTTTATGATGTTAGTTCTGTTGATGGGTACAATTTACCAATTTCTGTAATCCCGTTTCGCGGTACTGGTGATAAATGCAGCTGTTAAGTGTGTTTTCGGACTTGAATCAAAAGTGCCCCATGAGTTACAACAGGTAGAGAATGGCAAAGTGGTGGCATGTAGAGTGCATGCTTAGCGTTCAATAGCCAGAATTTTGTTGCACTGGTTATTTTGGAAGCCCCGCTACATGCAAACCGCGGAGTTTCTCCAAAATATTCAAGGAATCTGTCCGATGGCTTACAGTTATGCCTAGAGATCAGACTAGTACCTCACCTGCAATAGAGGCGATTACTTGATTCGCTTTTGTTGAAGGAGCTAATACTTAGATTAGCTTTGCAAGATTTATATTACGATGGTATGTGAGCATGTATATATGCGTACTATATGATCCATAATGCGTACTAACAAGGTACATTGAGTATGCTTGTATTATATTGTTTTTAATACGAGAATATAGCTTAAATCAACATCTAAGTTGTATTAATTTATCAATATTTTAGCATTTGCTACGGCCTTTTTCTTGGCTAGAGTGATTCACATTTATTGTCACTCTCTTCTACGCTATACTATCAATGGATATTACTTGGACATAAATGATACGTGGAAGGGGTGACATAATTAGAGATGAAATTTAATTTTAATTTTCAAAACAATTAGCATTATTGAAAATGAATCGCAAAAAGAAAAATACTAAACTTTTGAGATCAGCATGTCACTTGATGATTGTATGGAGGCATAAGTCAGGGTTATAAGTAAATTTCGGAATCTGTATCTCTTTCATTCAAGATTATACAACACTTGTCACAATCTAATGATCCATTTTCTTTACAGAGGCAACATTTTTTATCCATTCACACTCTTTCTCTTGCACAATTTTCGGCATGTTGGTCAACAGCCTTTCATATATATATATATATAATATATATTATATATATATATAGATATATATTATGTACCCCTTACCTTTGATAGAACAAATCACATTCTAAATATTTACTCATTGTTTCAACCAATTTGCCATGATCATCCATTTTCATCTCCTGGGTTTGATCTCTGTCTTGGTACCAAGAACACATTCATTGTCCAATGTATTTTACAAATTTTGTTCCTTGGTATGTGCATATTAACTAATCTTGATATTATGCTACAGGCACAGATGCTGCAGTTTTAACATTAGAAAACATCAAGACGCAGTATGGCCTGGGATCCTGGCTGGATCAGGGAAACCTCTACTCAACAATGGATGGATTGCTTTGAAACCAGAGAAAAGCAACTGACATCAAGGCACCACCTGGGTGGTCGGGCCGATTGGGGGACGTACTGGTTGCCAATTTGATCCATCAGGCAAGGGAAAGTGCATAACTGGTGACTGTGGTGGCGTGCTAAACTGCGAAGGGCAGGAGGTGAACCACCGTATCACTAGCTGAGTTTACCCTTGATAGTCCAATGGATTTTTATGAGTGTTAGTCTTGTTGATGGCTACAATTTCCGATGACTATAACCCTTCTGTGGTACTGTGATAAATGCAAGGAGGTTACATGTGTTTTCGGACTTGAACCAGAAGTGCCCCAAAGATCTACAAATGGTGACAATGGGAAGTTGTGGGATGTAAAAGTGCATGCGTGGCGTTCAATAAGCCTGAATATTGTTGCAGTGGAGAATGGAACCCTGAAAAATGCCCCCAACTGAGTTCTCCAAATTCTCAGGAATCTTGTCCAATGTCTTATAGTTACGCCTGATGTTTGACTAGTACCTTCACTTGCAAAGGAGCTATTACTGGTACGTTTTTGTTGAAGCTTACATCAAGACAGTAAAAATTAGTCTGACGATGTGTTGTACTTTGAATCTGATTCAACATTGCATTCATTTTTATTTTTTTCTGTTTTTGGAAAATAAGAAGAGAGTATACAGTTAGAAACATCATCCAAGTTTGCACTGATAATAGCAGGTAAAAAGCCCATATGGCTTGATGTTTGTATTTTGATACACTGGCTTCAAATTCATATATAAACCCAAGTTTCTGACAAATCATGTACTTTTTTCTTGTTTTGCCTCTTTTGTATAGCTTTAATGTTTAAAACTTGGATTTTTGTTGATCTAACTTGTCAAATCTAGCTTACATTTAGAAGATGGAGATGTACATAAACTATTGGATATTTAAGCAGTGCCCAGATACAAGAACAAGCTCTTGTTATAGAAACAAACTGGAAAGAGCACTTAATTCTGCCTATTTGCCGATCATCATGAAATCGACCAAACAAAGAATTTTTCAGCATGGCTAGGCTCAAACGAAATTCTACTATTTGTCAATGTAATGTATGATCTCACGACGGTAAGGCCAAGCAATCTGCTGACAAGTAAATATCACACATCCAAGAATAATCAGTTATTAGAAAAGGGAGAGAATGATACCGATCATTTTATATTTAATTGTCCATGAAGGCTTTGAATGGCATGGATCAGTGTGTTCATACCAGGAACATAGCAACATCAACCACAATGCAAATAATAGTACAAATGTAAAACCCCATTTCTAATTTAGTAATAGCATGAATTGTATTTAGTAATTAATTCTTTTCTATTGATTTTGGTATTGTTGTAAGAAGGGTATTTTGTCAATTTTTAAAGTTGCGTTAAGGGGTAAAAACAGAAATAATCCTGATGGGTTTTATGTATCAAGAGGGAAATTTTGGACATTCCCTAGGAAAGCTTAGGTGGCGGGTTATACGTATTTAGAATATTGGG